CGTTTTGCTTCCCGCTTTGTGCTCGCCGTGCCGGCAGCCCGTGAAATGCTCCGTCATATTCTTGGATTTGGGGACTGATTTCTTTTTTTTTTTTAGGAAAAACGAGGGTGGTTTAGGGCGGAAGGAAAGAAAACAAAAACGTCCTTCCCGGGCTATGGGGTACCCCGGGAGTGCTGCGGTGGCAGCTGATGGAGCAGGAGCTTTCAAACAGCTGACATCCCCAAAAGGATGCATGGTTAGTGTTACATAAACTGCAAGCCTCCATGAAGCTTTACGCTGGTTTTAGGGAGGCCAGGCTCAGCGCTGTAGGTTTTGGTGCAGTGAGAAGCCTCCTCTTCACTTTTCTAATCATCTCTGCTAGTGCTGGTTGTGTAATAGTTAGGAGGCAGCGTTGATCCGTACTCATCGGTTCAGGCTGTGGTGGCCACTGGAGCCGGCCTGGTTCGTTCCCTTTTCTGTCTGTGATTCCTGTCACTATTTGTACATCTTCCATCCAAAAGCATGCAAGAGCAGTCGTTTGCAAAAGATCACCTAAAATAAGTTTTTTAGTCTGAGGACAGGATTAATAAAATCAATTGGCAAAGAGGGAAGCAAGCAGCAATTTACTGATGCTAACGGGTAATATTTATGCTAGATATACATCTTCTCCTCCGTTATGCACTTTCTGGATGCTGTGCTTGCCCTTCTCTTATTGATCACCCACTCTGTGCCAGCTCTTTGCCATGTGGCTTGTATTGCATTGCTTAATTTGATGGATTACTCCCTGCGCTTGCCTCTCACTCCTGCCTGTGCGTCTCCCCCTGGGAGTGCTGGTGCTGCAGTGGCACTGTTGGTTGGATGGTGGTGCAGCAGGTGGTTTCCACTTGATGTGGCAGGGAGCAGGGTACCTTTGCTCGCAGTGCAGCTCAGCCTTACACTAGGTGGTGAAATCTCTGTGGTCATCTCATTTTTAGTCCTGCGTTGGTCTCATACTTGCTCTTTTTTTCTTAGTCTCTTCTCTCCCTCCATTCTATCTCTGTGAGTTTTTTCCCCACCTTCATTTCTCACAAGCATCCACCCTAACGGATGCTAGCCCCATGTTCCTGGTGGTGCCAGCCCCTTCTTCTTGCTGTCTTCTTTCTGGGCCTCCTTGGTTTTTTTACCTTATCCTTCAGGTCTTCTTTTCTGTTCTGTCCCTATTTTTGTGCCCTATTTCTCACTTTCTATTCCCTCAAGTACTCCCATTCAAGGTAGCTCATTGCCTGCTCCCACTCCCCCTGGAGAATTAGAGCCTCCACCTCCCTCTGCTTTCTCTCTCTTTGCTGTGTCTTTTTGCTTGGCATTTTCCCTTTCTCTCAGAAGACTGTGTACTTACCTTGGATTCCTACCATCTCCATTTGCCACTGTCTATTCATGTTTTCCATTTTATTATGGAAATTACCTCCATGAGGAAGCATTTATCTTTCTTACTCTCTACACACATAAATATCCTGTCTTCTTCTGTCATCTTTTGCCTGTCTAAACTTACATTTATATCTTGAACAACCTTTCTTTTTTGTCAGGATCCTTCATGTAGCATGTATTGATATCTAATAAAGTCCTCTCTCTTTCCTCCCAAGTCCCACTAACATTTTCCATTGTATCATGCTTGATCCTGATTTCCAGTTCTTCTTAAAAGTTTTTACTCAATTCGTCCTTTCCATTAGGATTGGTTTGGAAACTCAGAAGGGAAAAGGAATTTTGTTTTATTTTGGCAGTACAAGGAATAAGCCGCCGGGCTAGCAGTCTCTTTCCCCTCTCTTTTCTTTCTCTTTGCCTGTTGCTTCTTTTCTTTCATCTTCAAGATCACTATTTAAGAGCCACACTCTTCCTCCTCAGCTGTCACCCCACTGTAACCTGCCTCTTCTCTGCAAACAGCAAGTAAAAGGTAGGGCAGGGAGCAGGAGCTGCTGATCACAGCATTTAAATTATAATTTTCCCCCTCAGTATTCCTAAGGTGACACATACAGATACATTATCACATTTTATTTTTTTTCTGTATTCCTGCATGGAAATGGTCTTGTCAGATTTATAACATATGTTTTCCTCTAGGCCATTTCTGAGTAAGTATATAATGCAGCTTTTCATCTTTGGGCTCACATAAAAGCACATAGACAATTGAATTGAAAAGCACAGCCAGAGTTTGAAATAAGGCTTTAGAGATCTTGATGAAGTGGAGGATATTGTATCCTGAAAGTTGCTGATGCTGGAGCAAATGACATAACGGAACATGTCATTTTCACCAAAGCTATTAGCTAATGACTTTCTCAAACATTTATCACGTTCTGTTCCCAGACTGTCAATGCTGAGGATCAATTGTTTACTTGGAGGCTTTAGGAGCAGATGAGCTTTATAATAAGAATTACATGAAAATTGTACCCAGTTAATCTCTTGAAATTCAATATTGCCTCTCCCTAAGAAGTATCTGATGAGACAGGATTGAGTTCATAACTGAACAACGGCAGTCAAGGCTTATGTCACATCCTGCAGTTTGAGTAGTTGCTCAAAAATTATTCAATTAATCAGATTATTAATCCCAAAGTAGTGTCTTACATTTTGCCCACCAGTGATGTCAGCATTGCTGATATCACCTGAAAATAAAGAGCAGAGAGGTGTAAATCCTTGGTTTGAAAGCAGAAGAGAAATTGCCACGTGGTACTCCTTGAGGCTGTCCTTGTAGGGTGCCCAGATCATCTGAATGATTTTGCACATTCCATTCATCTTAGCAGGTAAAATAGCTCAGATTTGTGTTTGCTTTTCTTATCTAATCACCACACGGTTGATGGTCTGAGTGTGCTGTATACTCTACTTTTATGCAAGGAATCCTCAGTAATGCAGGGGCATGAGGGGAAGTACAAGTACTGATAGCAGACGTTCCAAATTGGGTCAAAAGCACCACTGGGAAAAACCTGATTTCATGTCCTTGATGCACGGGAGAGTTCTTCCGTTCCTTGGGTCCGATCCAAAGTATGAGGACAAATTTGCTGGAGAGCTACTGTAGGAGTTAGAAGGGAAAAAAAGAGGTAGGAATTTATGACTCATAAGGCTGAAGACTTTGGACTTCTACTTCCAGACAAGGATAACACTGGCAACATAGTTCTCTTCTCTCCTCATGTAAACTGATGAAAGCAGGTAAACAGTTCCTGAATATTGATTCCGGTTCCTGCCTACATGATCGATAAAGGCGTTGTTATATGGTAGGCATAATAAAATGCAGTCACATTGCTACTGTGGCCTTATAGTGAAAACTGGGCTGGATGAAATAAATCTTTCCCTGTAGGGATATATTGTCATGCTCCAAAGCTTCCTAAAACTTTAAGGGATAGAGTGAAACAATAAAAGGTAAGGAATTCGATTTCCCATTCTGTAAGGTCTAAATATCATTCTTTTGCAACAGCTTTCCACTGAATGTCATAATAATAAAGACAAGAAGACAATTTCCTAACTACCAATTCGATAAATAAATACCTGCCTAATAAATCAGAGCAAAGAGGACCACTGTGTGTTTAGGTCAATTGTTTGCTTTTACATAAAATTTTAGTGGTTGTAAGGGTAAAGATAGGAAAACACTACTGTGTTGCTAGCAAGAAGGGTCAGCATTATCTAGACATTCACCAGGGGAAACATATTAGCTGTAAAAGGAAGATCAGAATTTACCCTACTGTGCTTGCTAAATTTTTCAGACTCCTGCCCCTATGTGTGCTGGTACAAGAAATATCGCTATCAATTTATAGGAAGTGTCTTACAATTTACTGAATGGTTTAAACTTCTCTTGTCTCAAACAACTGTCACTGTTCCAACCTATGAATATTAAAAAGGCAACGTGGAAAGCGTTCGGTGCAACAGATCGGGCACAGATTCACACGGGATTGGTCTTGTGTCTGCTTGTTTCTGCAAGGTTTGTTAATTGTGTGTCAGTGAAGGAAGCAATTTAAACTCTTCTCTATGTGTGCATTTTAAGTATCAACTGTAAAACCATCCAATCCTGATTTTCTACCACATTACACGTGCGCATTGACATTTAGACATGGGGAAGCGTGTATTACATTTTCTGAAGCAGAATGATTGACTTTTATATCCATTCTGTGCTCGCTCTGGCTTATCCTAAAGGCAGGATTCACTGGAGAGCAAGGCCCCCCAGGTATTTTTGACAGGGTTTTGATCTAAGACAACTCTCAGTGAAACAATGTTTTACTGAACTGTTGGTGGGTTTGGGCCCTTTAAAAAAGTCAGAGGCATGAGCCTGCTGTAGGATTCCACAGTTGCTTCCCCCCCCTGCACTTCACCCCTCGCAGTTCTTACCTGTCAGGGCAGCATTTTGGCAGCTGCCTGCGTGGATCAGATAGGGAGAGGTCTGGAGCAAAGTCTTTGTCTTTTTCTGCTGTTCTCCTCCTACGCTGGGGCAGTGATAATTTGCTCCTACCCAGGAGAAGTCACACTGTGACATTGTTTCTAGGGCTAAGAAAGCCTCAAAAGAGTATTATATTACTACCAATTTTTTAACAGTGGCCTGTGTTATCTAGATTTCAGAGTTTCCTAATTTTGCCTTTCATATTGCCTTGCATACCTAGTAAATGAATCTGTAAGTCTATAGACAGCAAGAGTTTAGCCTCTTTTTCCTAGCATCACCCAGGAGATATCTCATGTGCCCACAGTTACAGGGTGTTAATTCCAGGGAGGAGGCAGACCAAATGGTATGGGCGATGCATGAGCAACACTTTTCCTGTATTGGGACTTTATATGCAGAAAAAAAGGAGATGGCAGATAGCTAACCTGAAACCCAGGAGGATGTCCTGCAACAGGACATGTCAGCAGGATGATTGAGCCTCTCTGACTGTTCCCAGCCCCCCCACAGAAGCAGGCAACCCAGGTACCAGTTAGCATTTTGTTTTCTGTGATGTTTCTCTGTGGATCTGGACTAGCATCATTGTCCCTCATTACAGAGCAAGCTGAGTCATAGGCTGCCGTGGACACAGGGGAGACCTGAAAGAACACGAGGTAGCACAGGGAGACTGATCTCTGTAACTGCAGAAAGAAATTAAATCAGCTTCCCTTCTATGCTCTGGTTTTGAAGGAACATTAAGCTGAAATTTGCCTGGCCTCAGTGCAGATTTTGCATGTATGTGTTTATCCAATGCATCTTCCAAAGTGTTTTATTTCTGCTTTTTTGTTTTTTTGTTTTTTTTTTCACCAGAAAGAAACACCACTCGCTAATGCTGCATTTTGGGCTGCAAGAAAAGGAAACCTGGCTCTTCTCCAGCTGCTGCTGAACAGTGGGCGAGTAGATGTGGACTGCAAAGACAGTGTATGCACACAATGCACCTATACCCACGGCACTGATTTTACATCACTTTCCATAGTCCGCTGCACCAAGGGTGTGGCAGGGATCTAACATGAGACATTTGAAAGTCTTATTGCACTTAGGGATGATTTAAAACCTTCTCTTGTCATGAAGCAAGTTTGAAACTCAAGATAAAGTAGTGCGATGATTTACATCAGTGGCAAGGGGTTAGGAATTTGCCAGCACTCAAAAATGTGTCTTACACAGTTATTTGTGGTGCTGACATTAAAAACACAGATCCTAGCACCTCGGGCTTCTCTTTGCAGGGAAATGTCATTGTAGTAATAGATCACAGTGAAGAGTTGACTCAACCGAGCCCAGGTAGCAGTGATTCTCTCAGCTAGCAGAGCTCCTCACAATTAGAACTCCTGGCCTCCCAACTTGTTCCTCCCCCACCCCAGTAGCTCCTGGACTTGTCACTAACATGAAGGCACAGTAAGATTGCCAAGCAGAGAGGAGTCCAGACACGTGACAGATAGATTTCGTGGGGATTTCCTTACTGTAATTGGCACAGGTTCAAAGTAGTTTTGAGATTAGAAACGGGTTAAAAACACAGATAAGGGGAATGTCTTGCTATTCTCCCTACAACATATGGAGAGATACTTGATCGTCCTAAGCTATGGCAAAGAGCAGGGGAAAAATGAGGTTGAGAAGTTCCCAGGTTTCTTTCGTTTGACATTGGGACTCACTTCCTGAGAGTCGTGCCTGTGTTGTACTGGATTAGTGCCACTTCCAGCCTGAAACATGAACCTGCCACAGCTTCTCTCGCTTTGAATACCTTCAAAGTGCAAGAGATTTTCTAAACCCATTGACTTTAACCTATCTTTTCATTTTCATTTCATTTTTGCCCTGTAGGCTAGTATTTGTCCTGCAGTACTTCTGGAGCTGATGCTATGATTGACATTCTGACATGTGGTTTCTGCATATTGTCCATACACTGCATACATGTAACCTAAATCTCACTTGGTTCACTGGAGCAGTGGCCTTATGGGGTACTGAGAGAACCTGAACACAGAGTTCTGGTGTGGAAAGTTCTCTCATATAATGTGAAGAGTCACAGAGTGAGTTTGCTCACATAATTTGGATAGGGAATTAATATTCAGATCACCCGGACCTTACTCCTGACTATGACTCACAATTAAGTGACTCAGCTAAGTTGCTCAATTCCTGTGTTTAAGATTATTATTCTGGAAATGGTGCAAAGATCTTTGGGATTCTCTGGTAAAAATGCTGTGTATAAACCAAAAATATTCTTGTTATTCTTGTTGCACTTATTTTTGGACAATAAGGTGAAGTCATTGCATACTTATTTGTTGAATGGTCAGGCCTTAGCACTGCAGGCGAGTCTGTAATGTTTTTGCTTTAACACCTGCTACTTGCTCATTTTCCAAGTAAGTTTTAAATGATAGCAAGTTTTTCAATGATCATAAGCTTCCTTCAGCTCTTCAGAAGAGATGCTGTCTCTTCCAGACAGCCCCATTCGGTGCTGGAGGTGTCTGTTGAAGGTACTGACTTGTTTTTCCTTACTCCCAGCTTGGCACAACAGCTCTGATGGTAGCATCTTACTATGGCCACATAGATTGTGTGCGGGAATTGGTGTTGCAAGGAGCAGATATCAATCTGCAGAGAGAGGTAGGAGAAGTTCTGCATTCAAACAGGGATTGATTAAGTGACCGTTGGTTTATTACAAATAATAAAAAGAGTGTTGTCTGTTGCTTTTTGCCAATTGCTTCTTTGTCACTTGCTGTGCAGTGCATGTATAAACAGGGTCTGTTCTCCTGACGACATCAAGGAATCAGATGTCTGGAATTTATAATAGAAAATGAGATGACAGAGGTACATTTACAAATAATTCATCAAACGTTTCCAGCACATCTGGTTGGTGAGGGCAATTACATCTGAGATGTAACCCCCCCAGTGTTATACCATTTATGCATCTGCAGTTTTACTTACTGGCACAGTAATTTACAACTCTCTGGATGGGATAAATGATAAGGAGAAGTCCTTTACCTTTTGATTTGTAGAGTCTGGTCATTAAAATGGAGTAGATGCCATTGCTAGCCCGGGGATTATTTTGACTCACTATGCTTTGGAGTTTCTGCCTCTTAGTCTGAGCCTACTCATCTCTAACAATCACACAGCTTAATCACCCGTACCCTTCACTGCATCTCTGCTTTACATTCAAGGCATCTCTCGCACCATGACATGTTTGCCCGTGGAAGGGATGTCAGCAGCTGGTTTTGGGAAAGTGCCTTCCCTTCATACTCCACGCAGATGGTTGTAAGGAGTACCTGTAGCCGCTCTGGTCTGTGTGCTGGCTACACAGAGAGCAGAATTTCTCTGGGATAATGACAGTTGCACTGGTCCTAAGAGAAAAGCAGTTTAAGGAGGGCATGCAGTAACATGGGATGGCAGCAGGCAGTGCAGGACAGCAGTATGCTCATTGCCTTGACAATGCAAGCAAATGTTTCTCCCTTTCCTTGGTTACCTGGAACTAAAGCACGAGTCTCATGCTGACATCTGCAAGTTACTGAGTCAGTGAATGCCATATTTGATGATGTAAGTGTCTTTGCACTTGCCAGCCTAAACTTGCTCTAACTATGACTGTCAGTGTCTTTCAGTGGGGTCCTGTTCCAACAAAACATGTATTTAGACGTGTCCCTTCCCTTAGGTAAACATTGCTTGAAAACCAGCACAAAAGGAAAAGTTGAGAACATTTTATGGAGCTGCTCTTGAGTATCTCTCAGGACATACAAGCCAACAAAAAGAGAAACACTGAAATCCACCAAAATCACTTTGTTGCAGAGAGGAAGCAAAACAGATAAAGTTTAAACCCTGAAGACCAAAGGCACTGTTCTGAAACTAAATCCACATACTCAAATCAGTGTTCTTGTATTCTGAAGTTGTTGTGAAGCTTAGGGAAGTGAGAGCCCCATAGATGCATCTGGGAGCACTGAGAAACGGTCTCAAGCGGCCATGTGCTATTGTAAAGGCTTTGGGCACTCGAGTGAATTTCATGTGTAGCTCCAGTTTCCTGCACCTTCTACATGTATGAGAGAGCCCAAAGTCAGGAAAACCTGCTTCCCTCCCTCCTTCCTTCCCTCCTTCCATCTTTCCTTCCTTCCTTCCTTCCTTCCTTCCTTCCAGCCCTCTCCCCTTCCCCTTCCCCTTCCCCTTCCCTTCCCTTCCCTTCCCTTCCCTTCCCTTCCCTTCCCTTCCCTTCCCTTCCTTTCCATACAACTAGTATAAAATATGGGGTTTCAGCTCTTCAGTGAGGTTCAGGGAAAGCAGGAGTTGCAGGGCTGGTGACAGTTGCTTGAAGGCTGCTTGGCTGGATGCGGATCTACTGCTGCAAGAGATAAGTTATGCCAACGACAGCCATATTTTGTCAGTGGAGAGTCAAGCACGGTGGAGCTGTGCTGTACCAAATAACCTCCTTCCTGGTCTTCCCATGCCCTGATCCAAATCCATCCCATGTTCCTATTTGTCTCAGGTTGTAGCAGCAGGTGGAGTAGGGGTTGGTTTCAAATTGGCTGTTCATTTGTTGTTCAGGACTGATCTTTTCTCACTCTGGGCTGCTTTCCCGATCTGCTGACTGGGTAGAAGTGAGTGAATCCTAAGAGGATATTAGAAACTCTGTGCAGAAGGCCCTTGCGAAACTTGGATTTTACTCCAGTGTATGATGCTGGACAGATCTCTCAGTGCAATGGGAAGAAAATGGGCCTAAGATACCTGCAGTCCTCTGCAGTCCTCAAAATCATCATGTCTTTTCTGATCTCTCAGTGCAATGGGAAGAAAAGGGGCCTAAGATACCTGCAGTGCTCTGCAGTCCTCAAAATCATCATGTCTTTTCAGCTGATATTCAAATGACTGTGCTCAATACCTTTTAATTTGAAATGTATATACTTCAGTCAAGTGTGTTATGTGTTTGGGGTTTTTTTAATCCATTCTTTCCTTACAGTCAGGTGCAACTTCTCTGTTCTTTGCTGCACAGCAAGGCCACAACGATGTAGTGAAGTTTCTCTTTGAATTTGGAGCCTCCACTGAATTTAAGAATAAAGTAAGATGATGGGTCTATTTTTGCATGCTGATACATTCTGACAATCGAGGCTGTTTTTTCCTATTTACATGAAATATGATATGGCAGCAGGAAGATGATAAAAGGATTTCCTCACTTGAATGATTTCTGAGTATATTGTGAAAATATTAACTTGGTACTAGCTTTTACTACCTAGACTTAATGGCATAAGTTGATCAAAGATCAGTCCCTCGAGAGTGATACCAGTTTTTCCTCTTAAGCCATCCTCCAATACAAGAACAAAGGGTCTTTTTGTACATGTTAGGTAGGATCCCATTTTAGCTATAGGTACTTCACCTGGATAGACTGAAATTTTGTCTGCATTGGGATGTCCCTGCATACCGCCAAGAGTATAATGGCTTCAGAACTCCCTAAATTCCCATTTACCCACCTGTGACAAGAAGATGAAATGCACCTCAGAGCTCCTATTTCTTTGTGCAGGCAGATCCTTTTTCAAAATCTTCTTAGAATAGCCAAAAGCACACATGGCAGAGCCCGGGTCTGGTTCATCACTCCTCATCGGGTGAACAGCATTAAGCACAGCAGTTCATCACTGAGAGCAGTACATCAACTCGGTTTCTTTGCCCAAGGCAGTACTAGCACCTCTGCTTTCAGCAAACAGAACCAAAAGCAACATATTTTCATTAAATATTCTTGCCGTTGACATGCTGGCCACATTTTGGAGCATTCCTATAATCTGGGGAGGACACTTGTCCAGTCCCTTACCCTGGGATCCATAGTGATGTGTTTGAAGAAGGAATAGTTCTTTATCCCACAGTAACCAATTTTTCAAGATATTATAGTCTATGATTTGAATGATTCCCTCAACCCATACCTGCATTCCAGAGTCCCTGCAAATATAGGCTTTAAATACTAAGGGAATTGATGGAACATCAGAGACTCAACCCCTTATGCTCCAGGGACTAAAATTCCTGAGGTTTTGTGGCCAGAGTCCACACATGCCCACACAGTAGGATTCTGGTACCCCAGGGAGCTATGCTTGTGGTAAGCAACTCTCTGACCACAGCAGCAATCAGTAAATTTAAAAACATGAATGAAATTGTGGTTGTTTAACACAACGTGGAGTGCATCTGTAGAACTTGGCAATGTAGGAAGTTGCAATGTTAAATACAACAGCTGGATTTTAAAGTGCTGGGTAATCTCATGTGGGACAGAGTTAGTAGGAGAAATGGCATGGAGATTCTTCAGTTTCCTGCCACTTTCAGTTGAGCTGGTCATAAGACAGCATCAACTCACACAAGACATAACATGACAAACTGGTGTGCGACGTGTATGTGAGGCTATTTTCCAGCAGCATCAAAAGTGCCTGTCCAAGCACTCCCTCCTTCTCACCGCCTCTTCAAGAGGTGTATCAGCCACTTCAGCACTCACAGTATGGCACAAGCTGTAGTGCCTCAAAAGGCTCTTAAAAGCTGAACAAAGGATAGCTGAGTTAAAACTAATCTGTGCAAGATTCAAGTGACGCTGGTTTAAAAAGTTGAGGTTAGCTATCATGTCCATGCCCTCTTTGTTGAAAGGATCTGCTCTCTCTGAAGAGAGCACGAGGGCTTTGCTAGATTCATCATTAATACTGGGACCTACCCTGGAAATTGCCATGTTCATTCTTTCACTCATTCCTTGCCTGGGAACTGCAGGTCATCTTCTGAAATGAGAATCTAGACACAGGAATCCAAAAGCTTACAGCTTCCAGACTGGGCTTTGGTAACCCACTGAATTTTTAGACTGAGTCTGGGTGGGAAACCAACTTGTACTTTGTGCAGCAGTGTGTACATGAGCAGGAGGCACCATTGAGAATGTACTGCATTGGCAGTATGCATCTTCCATTGGCCTGCTCATGTGCTTTTGTATCAGTTCAGTTTTCTGATTTAATAATGTGGGGTTTGTAGCTTGGAATTATTCCATCACTCTGTTAACAGGCAACTAAGATAACAGGCTCCTCCACACACACACACACACACCCCCCGCCAGCCCTCCCCCAACCCCCAGAAACAATATAGTTGACAAAATATGCTTTTTCAGGTTAGAGACAAGGCATTTTCCAATTAAGCACTCAGCTGGAAGCAGCGCTGGAAAAGAAATGGCCAGTCCTGGCTATTTTTAAAGGGCAATGCAAAATTAATCCATTTGCAAAGAACTTTCTATTATAAATGAAGATGTGGAATTGAAATAAGAAAACAAATTGACTGTATCCTATGAAACAGAGATTTTAAAGCAAGAAAATGCAAAGCCCAACATCTTCTTTTTCATGTACCTGAATGTAAATTGTAATTACTACATTTGTAACTTATATATGAGATTGCTGGAGAACTATCTCAATATAGGCGTTCAATTCCTGTTACCCCTTATATCATTAGAGTTGATATTCACTACAGCAGGCAAAGCAAACATTCTAAAACACTGTAATAAAGTAATTAGCAATAATTGCTGATGTTGTAAATAGAATAAATAGTATTATTGAAGGTTATTACATATTTATTATAAAATACATATTATTCAATAATATTATTCTGCATTGTCCCAATCTGGCATCCTTAGACATACGCATCATAAACTGAAACATGTTGTCCTTTTTTACTCTGAGACTTGTTATAAGCATGTGGGTTCTTAAAAGGGTTTGCATGGTGGCATGTTTTCTGAGCAGTACGGCAGGGCAAGGGGGATGTCAGAGGGTATTTTTTTGC